CTCATGATCAATTGCACCTTAGCAGCATCAGTGCAGGTTGCAGTATATTACTAGAAATGGGTTTATTTATATATCAATTTTTTTTATTACAGCTGATATTAAGATTTCAGGGGACATTCCTGACAGTTATATTGACAGTGAGCCACTATAATTCAACTGTGAATGGAATTCAATCTGTCAAGAATGTTTTTTTTTAAATAATTATTTTACTAGGAATACATTTTATTTATTTTAAAACTGATGTTGTGTTTGCAAATCCATACCCACCATGATACATAATGCCCCAGAAGGTAAGAGTGCATTCAGAGCTGCACCAGCAACATGTGAGACCATGCATTCTGGGATGTCCTGTGTGCAGAAAACTGGGAATAATGAAAACCAGCCAACATATTGGGGGTGGGAGGGTCCTGCCCACACAGCAAAGAAAATAGCATGCTGGTTACAGGAAGACAATTCTGTGCCACATGACAAGGTTGAAATGCTGTTTGCATCCACATACAATGTGGTTATAACTCAGTTCTTAGGTGTGGCAGCTAACTATGGGTATGTTTACACTGCATTTGGAGGTGTGACTGCAGCATGTGTAGACATATGCAAGATAGATTTAATGTAGCTAGTGTGAGTACCAACAGCAGTGAAGCTGTGACATCATGGGTTGTACAAGCCCATCCAGGACCCTAGGTACTTATTTGGACAGCTAGCCCACGTTAGGGTGACTAGATGTCCCGATTTTATAGGGACAGTCCTGATTTTGGGGGCTCTCTTACATAAGCACCTATTACCCCCCACCCCAGTCCCGATTTTTCACACTTGCTATCTGGTCACCCTAGCCCACACTGAAGCCTCTGCTGCCATGGTTTCCTGGCTATTGGTACTCATGCTAACTCGATTAAAGCTAGCTCAGTTATGTCTACATGGACAACACTCAAACATTTGACTGCAGTGTAGACGTACCCTATGTTTGGAACCAACCACGCTCATAAGGTTGCAAAGATGGTTGAAAGCTTGTTTGTGGACACAGCCAAACTCTAGTTATAGAAACTAGTTCCCTATGGGTATTTAAGACAATCTGAGTAAGAATTATGTTGCTTGTCCGATTAAGTCTACCAAAGAAAATCTGTGTGTCTACCGCTATCTCTCTAGTAAACTTGTTACATTATACAGTTGTTTCCAGGTTGTAAGAGCACTAATATAATTTTCTGCTAATTTTTTCTTATTACTTCTGAATGTTTACATGGTGACACTACAATTCCTTATCTTGTTCACATCTACAGTTATTGCAGTAGCCATCTACTGACACCGAAGGAAGTTGTTTGAATATTCGATTGTAGCTAAGTTAATTTGACATACTGAAGAAAAACAAAAAAACAGGCATAAACAAACATTTAAAACACACTGTACAGTACTTGTTTATGCACTTGGTACATTGTTGCAGTGGCTGCATTGCAAACATTGCAGGAGAGCGCAAACACTGCAAGGGTAGGTTTGATTCAGAAAATTCTGTCTGAAAGACAGTTTAACACATTAAAAATTTCATTGGCACATTTCTGCTTAGCTTAGTTTTTACAAAATGTAAATTTGGAGCTAAATTCAAATTGACAGATTCTTGTCAATAATTCACAAGTGAGCCTTCAAATGGGTTAATAAATGAAATAAATCTGATTTCCCCATAACCGGAGTCTTAAATTTTGACTTGAGGATATTTTTTTTCAGCTGCCTTTATATTGCAAAGGAAACAAGCATCCTGCAGGTTCCACCAAGCCATCTTTTGTTTCTACTGTCATTACATACATTTACTTTTTTCTCTTTCATAAGACTAAAGTTGCACTTCCACATTGGGAGCTGAGAGAAAGGCACACCACCACTTGGGAGTTCCTTTGCATGTGAGGGAGTGCCACCTCTGTGTCATCCCTGATGAGGCTGCAATGTGTAGTCCCTGTACTGGTTAGCCAACTCAGGACCTGTTGGACAAGTGTAAGGTCACCTTCTTCTCATCCACTCCAAAATGGCTAGCCACTCACCCTGGCACAGACCTCATGCTCTAGTGAATGCAAGAAATGATATTGTGATTGGTCTCCACATGAGGCTGAAAGATGGGACAGGGGTTGGCAAAGGTTCCCTACAATCGCATGGTGCACATAGTGTATTTCCTAATTTTATTATACTATATAATAAAATATTTCTTAAAATAGGAAATTCCAAGGCAAAAAACATTGTTATCTGAACTTAAGATACCCTTGCAAACACTGCTAACTTTAATTACCTTTTTAATGCTTAGGTTTAATTAACAGTATGGAAAATAGATGGATTAATTCAGGTAATGTAGGTAAAGACTGCAATACCTTTCATGTTCATATAGTCTCTTCAAATGTACATGTATGAAGATTAAGCAATCCACTACAGCCTCAACTTTAGCCAAATAAACCCATACAATCTCTCGCTTATTAACAGAATAGCACAGATGTAACAGAGTAGAATTTGTACCTTAAGATTTACAATCCATAAAAAAAAAAAAAGAAAAAGAAAAGAAAAAACACCTTTCACAACACCACATCTGCTAGGAATTCTGCTAGGTGGAATTATACTTAATAATGCTTCTATACCACTGCACTAAATTGTTATACTCAGTTATGCTGCATACATAAGAGTGTTTCCATTTTCATTGCACATTTTGACTTATAAGTTACTTAGAAGAATGATATCCCTTCTTTTAATTATTTCAGTAAACATAATAATGGCATTGCTAACTACACCACAGAGTACTTTATTTCCCCTATTTTTTAGTAATATGAGCCTACTTGTAATTAAAGACATGCTGCATTAATGATGCTGAAAGTCTCAGAGGGAAACATTTAATGTCCACCTCATAATATTATGCCAGAATTACATGCACAGAAGACTTTTTAATAATCTTTGTTTCTTAATTTAGTTTTGATTGACTATGAAATCCAGAGGAGCACTCTAGGGCTTGAATTTCTACTGTCATCAGCACTTCTGCTCCATAAATTGTACAAACGCGGATGACTTCTTCCGTCTGTAGGCTTCTTTTCAAAGCTTCTGTTTAACCTATCCAGAAAATTAGCTGCAGGCTGCAGATAATTGCAGATAATTTTACCATTTTTAAGCCACTGGGGTGTTGAATTGGGCTATGACAGCCAAATTTGTCTAAACACAAAGAGCAAATCATATTTTTATGTTGTCATTTCAGCTTTATACGCACGTTCATAACAATCTCAGTTCTGTATGCAAACTACAGCAGCAGCCACTAGGGGTTTCCTAGGTAAGAGTCTGAGAGGGGTTTCATTATGAACCAGGGATTAGTAATGGAATTAAAAGTTATATTAATAAGGGTTAGATTCTAGCAAATCAATCAGCTCTCAGGAAGGGGTGGTATGTAGCTGTGCTGCCCAACCTGATAGCCTGAGTAGGAAGAGAGAAGGAAATATTACACTGGCAAGTTATGTTTATTAAAATAAAAATGGTGTCTGTTTGAAACAATGTTAGTTGAGACAGATTAGTAGGCAGAGTGCAAGTGGTGCAATCAAAAGTTACAAAACCAATGTAATTGCTTCACATATCAGCGCAGTGTATGTGGTGAGTGTATGTGTGCATGCATACAACATCCTAAATGTGTGTGTGATTGGACCTGAACACCTTCAAGAGTTCTGGGCGTTGAAACTGGTGCCATAAATTAATTTTCCCCAGAACAGACCTGTTTGTCACAGAGTAATAATAATCTCCATATGGATAATATACAGGCAAACAAATATATTTAGTAGTTTATTTCAATTTACAGTAAACTTATTTATAAGAACTCATTAATTTCCCAGAGCTAAAATTATTAGCTAAAATTACACAAATTTCTATTGCTTTACTGATATAATAAAATGAACCATGTACAACATCATATATGTGTGTGTGTGTGTGTGTGTGTGTGTGTGTGTGTGTGTGTGTGTGTGTGTGTGTGTGTGTATATATATATATAATTTATACTTCAAAACTACATTTTCTTATCAAGGAATAATAGTTTTCAACAGAAATTAACATTCTACTGAAAGAAAATAAATTTTCTATATAATGTAAGGAAAAAAAGTCCTCTACAAGCTGAAAATTTCTTCCAAACATTAAAAATCTCCTAGGACCTGACCTGGCAAACATTTATGCATAAAGCTTTACTCAGGTGTAATGTTTTGACACATACAAAGTGCCTAGTTCTTTACAGCTGGCACAACTATTTACCAAGGGCAACATTTTCACAATCGGCCTCTAATTTTAGGGACCCCAGATGCAGAAAGTCTGGCTTAAGACCCTTGGGCATGATTTTTAGAAGTGCTAGGCACCCGCAAATCTAATTAAAGTCACAGGAAAATGCAGGTACTCAACACCTCTGAAAAAATCAGACCCTAGCTAATGGTGTTTCTTTTAATGCTGCCCATAAATACAACTGTGAACATTTATGGCTCATGATAACGAAGCATTAAGTAACAACGGTTAGAGCTGTGCATACTTCCTTGAAAATGCTGTCAATGCACCCTCCCCCTTAAACCTGCAATAAAGTTTAAGTATTCTAATTGTAGGCTTCTATTGGGCAAGGACACCTAATTACACCACATTATGGTGGTTTCATGATGTGAACACTAAAATCAAGCCACCAAACTCTTTTTCACAAATAACCCATGCAAAGACAGCCAGGTGAAAGGTTAGTGCACTAGAAGCTTGATGCTGCTTTCATTTAAGTCCACTGCAAGCATTGCCATTGATTTCAATTGAAACAGCATTGGGTTCTAACTAAATGAACTATTTATCCTACAGCCTAATGTGTTTTAATGAAGATTGCTTATTTCTTATTGCTTTGTTTCTCAGAAGCCTTTCACATTTACAAGCTCATAATATTATGTAGCTTTGCCTGGATCTTAACTGGGGATTTCCACTTTGCCTCTGCCTATTACAGAAACATCCTGAAACTATCTAGGAAAGAAGCATTGAAAAGTTTGCCTTACCATTGCACAGAAGGTCTCGGGAGGATCTCCACATGTTATATCAGGGGGATCCAGGGTCACTTTCACATATTTGATCATGTCTCTGGCTTCCGGCTGACAGGCCATGTAATCCCAAATTTTTCCTTCTTCTGTGTAAATCTGAGTCTTACACACATCATAATGTCCCCACACTGAAGGATAATGCTGCATCACTGAAGATACAGTAACCCAAAGGGCATGAAGTGACAGGAATCTTGACAAATACATCTCTAAATCCTTTGAAATTGCCTTGATAATTATAACCAGTATTGATTTAAGGACAGTCTATAGATTATAAATATATGTACACATATATTTATGTATGTATCTTATAAAACAGGTTCCACAACTGAACGTGAAGCGTTAGAATATGGTACTTGCTTTACTAAGTTGAAGACTTTGGTGGAAGCCTAACATATTCAAAGGACAGCTTTTCACAGAAATCTGAAGCTTGTCCTTTGTCTTATCATGTGTCTATCCGGGCTTTTTGTAAAAGATGTCCGAGAGCAGATAATAATTTAGCAAAGTTGTAGGTCTTCACTTGTACTGTCGATAACCCCGAGTGATCCTCCGTGTTCAAAGCTCACAAGGGATACCTAGACGCACTGATAAATCAGCATCTGAAGCAAAAGGATGAGTGTCTACAGCCTGGTGTCTGTTTCCCATCAATCATTCTTTTCTTCTGGCACCAACACCCTTTTAGAAACAATAAGAGTAAGAGTTATTGTCCAAGAATCAATGCATTATAAAATATATGATATGTTGACATTTTGGAGGTCTGATGCAATATAAAGCAAATTGGTGTAATATAGATAACCTTTACTGTGGGTGCTTTGCTAGAATGAACAAACTACCAAAATCATTCACAGTGAAAAGTATTTCAACATGAAGGATTTAACTCTTCTCTAACAAAGACAGATTTATAACATTTCAGGTGAGCTACAGGTTTTTGCTTCAAAAATGACATTTCCATCTTAGCAAAACCTGAAAGGCAAACAACAGAACTTAAACATTTCTCATATTTTATAACCAATGAGGCAGGGGAAACCTCAACCTCCAAGGAGAACAGCAGAGCGGATCTTTTATTACAGTGACAAAGACGACAACTACCGGTGTGCTTTTTATCTCTTGGAACGAGGACCCCGGAGAGCTCACAATGCCTCGTATGCTTCTATGCTTTTGTTAGCTTAATAAGAGAGTTATTAGGAGCACACATTTGTCTGTTTGGATTTTCTCATTAGTATTGAAAAAGCTTTGCTCCTTTTTTTTAAAATTGCATTTAACGATAAAGATAACTGGCTCATCTGTAGCTTATTATATTAACAATTTCCCTTTTAACATGGGTCCCATGTTTTCTTAATTATTTTTACATATCTACCTCTTGTTTATTTCTATAACAGAAATACAACAATATACAGAACTGTTTGGGGGGTAAGATGTAAAATACCAGGACATAAAATCATAAACCTTAAAAACAACATGTTACAAATTCAGAAGTCATTTATATAAGTCAATGTAGTGTTCTCTAATTTTGCAATCAATCCTGTTCCAATTGAAGATATTGGAAGTTTGGCCACTGACTTCAATGGGAATAGGATCAGCCCCTTTGTGAAAAAAAGGATGCATTCAGCTACTACTGTACTTTTCAACTCTTTAGCTGACTCTTACAATCTAAACAACCTCTTAAATTTAATGTTTACAGACAACTATAAATCATAATGTTGCATAGCTCAATTAATGTCTGCAGTCTAATATTCTAGTTAGTATGATGAATCTTCCTATGCCATAAAAATATGAAAGGAGCTCCATCACACACACCTTGTTTTATAATACACATTTTCAAGGAAGAGCAAAAGTTGTCTTCAAAGCAATTTCACGAACGGGTTGACTATATTTAAATACTGCACCATCTTAAACTGAAATAAGCCACACACACTATGAAATGCCAACAGATGGCTGAAGTGTGTTTCCATAGCAAAGTAATTTACAATAATTGCCTTATGGACACAAGTGCAATTTTCCATTATATTCATTTCATAAAATGTTATCATACAGCTGTGATTTGTGATGTATTCTATTGGAAATTGTGTTAATATCTGAATTTTCATGTAGCAATAATTAGCTGTCTAAATACATGTAAACTTCAAAGCTGAATTTGCTACAAAACCAGAAACTTCAGATACTTTACAAAAATTAAATACATTTTAAAATCAGACCATTAAGTATCATGGCTTTTTTAAACACCTTCCATTCTTCCTGCTTTCATTGGAAATATTTGACTTGTTATTTTGGAATTAATTAATTCAAATAACTTTTTAAAGGCATGCAAATTACACTGTTTCTATCCACTTTCCCCAGTCTATTTTATTGTTTTGGAGTGGAAAAAAGCAGCTCAAATACAAAGGTCAACATCTATAAGTAAGGAATTGACCTGAAAAAAAATGTTTTGTTTCTAAATAAAAACTTACAAAGTCTCTTAAACGATCATGACAAATCAGTGCATATTCAGTATTGAAGGATGAGAAAAAACTATTTTGAGCTTGGGCAAAGCTGGTAAAACTAGTAAGTAAATGTTAAGTTACTGTATAGAAACAACAACAAGTTACTATGTTTAAACAGCCTTTCAATTTAGCCTCTCATTTAGTCAGAAATATACTCTTTATTAATGTTTTCTTTGCTAGTTTCTCTTTTCCTCTATAACCTGTTGTCACTGCCAATCTACAAAGAAGTGGGACTAGATAGGGCTGTAAACAGATGTATTAACTGGAATTGAGAATATAGCTATTGAGAATGAATGCGAAGCTAGCTGTTATCTCAACACCCACTGTGCTACAACTCTCACCATATAACCAATTCTCATTAAAGAAAGTCAGCATCATAATGATGGTCATTACACAGAATTATAGACTATAACATTGATCAAATTTAGTGCACTGACAAGGAAAAAGTGCAGAGGAGTGCGAGATATTTGAGTATTGGGAAGATATAGGACTGAGTGATGGACAATCCTGACAAGAAGCAGCCAATTATAGCTTAAATTTCTGGCACATAACCAGTTGTGATTAATAGTCTTCCATTATATTACAGATATATTATTAATGTATTAAAAATGTCAGGCTTTGGCAAGAACTAATATGGCATGGTTCAGTTACTCTGCAGTTTCCTCTTTTAATGAGCTCCCATTGACATAGAGAAAGATATTGACCAAAGCACATTAAATATCATATGCTATGGGTCACAGAGGCTTTTATAATAGAGCTACACAATTTGTTTTTATTATATTTATGCCTGCAGTGTCATTCATTATGTGTATTCTAGCTCCTGGTTGTCTATTCCCAAACATATCTCATTTTAAAAAAAATTACCTTGCAAAAAATTTTAAATTACATTTCTGAACTTTAAAACAATATCAATTGTAGCTCTAAACTGCGTGGCAAACGGTGGGTAATATAAACCAAGATTTGTTTTCACTAATACACTTACATTTGGCCCTATGGAGTAAAACGCACCAAACATAATAACCGATGCATTTCTTGTGCCCAAATCCTCTGTACCCTGTAGTCCTCTCTTCAGCAACTGACCATGTGTTCTGCTGTGTTAAACTGAAACGATCCATAGGGTCTGACATACAGAGACTGACATCTTCACTGACAGAAGGAAAGGCGACTGCAAACTACTGGAAAAATTGATTATGCTAGCTGTATTCAATAAAATTGTGGCACATGCTATACTGGAGCTAACCTTTCTTGGCAATAACTGTATTAATTGTAGAACATTTAGGCCTTTGAATTTTCACATGTGCCTTAACTCCTGCCTGAAAAACAGCAGGCATTCCCTGGGCAACTGTGGAGCAACAATGCTGAAGTCCCTGTTGTCTCTGCTTTCTTCCAAACTATTTCTCTGTATGTAGAGTAGTGGATATATACCACATAATATAAGTTCATGTATACCTCTGTATCAGCAATTCTACATGAAGGGCATTAGTTGACCAAGACAAAAATCGTCTGTAAAAATGGCTTTACATGCATGAATCTGTTTCCAGGTGGCTAACTTGAGTCAGGCCAACATCACACAGCATTTTAATTATGTAGACTGCTCAGTTACCTTCCACCCCCGCCCAACTCCAGCCAAAAAGTATATTCCAGCAGTAATTAATTATGGTAAAAGAAGCTGTCAATTCTTATTAGGATATGCTAGTAAACACCGCTCCTTGTATCTGTTTTGGTCACTGTGAATATTTCCCTCCTCCCACACACACTATGATAATTTTCTCATTATAAAAATTGTCACCTAGCAGCTTAGCATTCGCTGTGTTGCAGAAGTCTCTTGGTGAGAACTTGCTGTACTTACATTATAGATTTTCTCCCAAAAACTCAGTTATGCAGTAGATTTCATAAAATGGCAACTAGTGATCGTTTCTTGTACAGACCATGAATTAGAAAGAAAGGTGAAAAGTCAGTTATCTGATAACATATTCCAGTATCTGCTGGTGTAAGAAACATTTAGAGGTATAAAAAACTCCGTCAATGGCAGTTGTGTATGATAATAGTAGGATTATATAAAATAGTTTAAAGTGAAATCTATTGTAATTTTGCATCTACAATCAGAGTACATTAATATTTCCTATAAAATACAAGTAAAGGTGATTTTTGGTTGCTTTGGTTATAATTTCTAAATCACTTTTTTCCAAGATGAATAAAATATGGTGTATACTACAAAATACAACTGGTATCTGATATATATTTTCACTGTTACCACTTATGAAACATGTCATACAGTGGTATACTGACATACTGAGATATATTAAATCTGAGCATTTCATAAATGCAGTTATTCATCCATGCAAATTAAATATGTTCATGTGTTTAATTATATTACATCCTATCTTTGATTAAATGTAGCACCTAAAAATTCTTAGGATATTTCAAAATCAATACTTATACTAGAAGAACTTCACATTCTTTTTCTATTAAGTAGTTAAATACATTTGATGAAAATGGAAAAATTTTCTCTATTTTAGGAGAAAGATCTTAGAAGTCTTATTACTCCTATTAACAGAAAACAGAATATGAAGTTCTAAAAATAAAACTAGGGATTCTAAAATACCCTACAAAAATTTTAGGTTGCCCTAAATCTTTCTTTGTCCTGTAAAATAGCACATGAACATTACCACTTACACTGTATCATCAACATTCAGCGTGGAATGAAAATACTTCATAAACTTTCATTTTTAACTGCTGTAAGTTCTTAATATAAAACCTTTGTAATTTTTTTAAGTCAACTCTGTAGCACTAATTACATTATTTTGCAAGTGTTATGCACTTAAGATGATCAAAACGGTTTACAGAAATAAGATTCCTAACAGAAAAAGTAACAGGCTCTTGTCAAAAGCTACTCATAGATCATCTATTGTGTAGTGATAGTAAAGTCTTCAGATTGTGGTGTAAACTCAATATAATTTTAGCAGCTTTAGAAAGTTATGTTAAGGACTTACCATTGGAGGGGGGGGGGGGGGGAGAAACAAAAACACTAAAATAGGGGTATTTTGTTTTGTGCTGTTGCCAAATTCTGCACCTCTAATCAGGAAGTTGGTTCCACTCCTTATCAATGCCACCGTGGTGCAGGGCAGATGACAAGGAACAGGAAAGATCAGGCTACTGACATTAATTGGTGAAAAATGTCTGGGAAACATCCTTTAAAGCACCAACAGTCACCTTTGATTTTTTTCCCATGTAAATTAAAAAAAATGTGAAGTCTTACCTAGGCCACAGTGTCTAAACGTTGGGTTGCATTATGCTTGAGGCAAAACTGTAACTTGCTGCCTCTTTAAAAGCATCTGTACCACTTATTTAATTCACTTCCTCTTTTCAGATTTTTGCAAAAATTAGGCTGAATCTTAGTGCACAAAATACAAAATATTGAAAAGCCGAATGCACAGCAATATAAATGTGTTCATTAAAGCCAACAAACATACGAACTTTAGGAGAGAATACAGGACCATTCATTTTATTGGCCTTAGCTATTCAGCATGTAGCAAATCATTTGTTTTTTGATGAATGATTTTTCATTTATTTTTTTGAATGATTATGTAAACTGCTTGTCATTTCTGATATGAAGCAGGGAATTATTCCTAGTTGAATAAGTGAACTGTCAATTCCATGGGATTGGGGTTATTCTACAAACCATTAATTCCACCCTTTTTATTAGATTTCTGATCATATTTTTCTGCAGAAAAATCTTTATTCATAGACTGCAAACTGTTTGAAGCAAATGACCCCCTTTTGGCAGAATCCTTCTGAATTCACTTCAAAAACTTTCATTCCCTCCTTTGCTAGTTTGTTGGCTTATTTAATACTCTTTTAATTTAAAAAAAATCAGAAGTTCTAATCAATCATTTCCACAGTTCTGTAAAATCCTGATGTGTTTCAGTTTTGGTTTTTTTTACTTCCCGGTTTGAAGTTAATGCCCTCCATCTTTTTTTTAAGTGCACAGCTGATTTCCATGCCGGGAAACTGATGAGAACAGATTGAAGGTTTGTATGTGAACCAAAATGTAATTCGATGTTTGAGGTAGGAGGATAGCTCATTTGGAAAACAATCCAGAGAGGAGTTTCAATGGCATGACAATGTATCAGAAATGGATTAATCGACTTGTAGGTTGGGGGAGGGGTGGGAGCAATACCTGTGTCTACAGGTGCCCATTCAGGATGCAAAAACAAACCGAGCAATCGCCTGCTCTTTTAACGAAAGCGCCTTTGAAATACGCGCTAGTAATTTTCCTCCCTTTACAAAAGCAGAGGGGCAATGTACTGGAAACCAGGCACAGAAATGTGCTCCCCAGCGAGGAGCCCACAGCAACAGCAGAGGGCGCAGTTTCTATTTGTATCTAAATTCACCCCCACCCTCCTGCTAAATCTCTTAATTGGTTACGTGGGGTCCAATAAGATGGCAATAGCTCCACCTGATCCATGTAGATCTGTTCCGAGGGAGAGCCCTATAGCGGTATTCAAGCTAAACCCACAGAGAGGCAGAATTACCAGTGTGTGCAATTCTCCCTACCCTCCCATCGCCCATCCGCTAGGAGCAAACCCAGGGACACATACCACTCCACCATGCCCCGGCCGGTACCTGCCCTCTGCCCCCTGCCCCAGCGCGGCGCGCGGGATTCCCACAGCCCAGCTTCCAAGACCCAGCGTGTGCAGCCACCGCGCCAGCCCCCGGGGGCTGCGGGCAGCCAAGTTTTTCAAAGCAAAGTCCAGCTTGCCCAGCCCCAACTCTTCCCCCCTAGCCAACCACAGCGGGCGCTCCCGAGGGGCTGGGCAGAGTTCTTCTCCCGCCCGCAGCCATGGCTCTTGCCCGCCCGTTGCATGGCGATGGCAGGCAGCAGCGGTTCGCTAGCGAGGCAGGGAAGAAGGAGCTGTACTCACCATGTGGAGCAATCCCTCTCGTTAGAGCGGGGAGGAGAGCGGACACCGCGCTGCCTGGGACCTTGCCAGCCTCATCCCCCTCCGGCAGCGGGAGCATGGGAGCCAGCGGCGCAGGGGTGGGAGGCTGCTCCGCCCGCTGTGCCCCGTCCCCCAGCCGCGGGGAGCCTGGCAGCCGTGAGCCGCACGCCCAACAAAAGTTCCTGGGAACGCCGAGGAGTTCAAGGGCTAGAGAAGAGCAGCCCCCGCCAGCCGGCAGGTCGGAGCGCCCTTCTCCGCCCCTGCCCCGGGAACTGTGGACTGCCCTGGAGCTGCCCCGCGGAGCTCGCCCCGGGGCGAAGGGGGAGGAACTCCTCCGGCTCCACTGCAAAGGTCGGCGAACGGCAGATCAGGGAAGGGGAGGCAGGACCCACGCTCCCCCTGGAACAAGTCAGCAGCAGCCGCTCAGGGTTTCCTGCCAGCCCCGCTGCACCGCCGGGTCTCCCGTCTGCCCAAGCCACTTCTTTGCATTAAACTTTTACTGGGGCTCCGGGAAGCTGCAGGACGTTCCCTGGCTCTCCGCGACGAGACGCTCTGCAAAGGCTGCGCTCCTGGCTGGCCCCAGCTTTCGTTTTATTTTAGATGAAGCCGTGGAAGGTACTCGGAGGGGACATAAATCACGACAATTAGCAGTGGCGCCGAGGAGATCCTTTCCTACCAGTTTCGCCGGAGCTTCCTCCGCGCATTCCTCTGCTCAAGTCAAAAGTGTCACTGCATATAGCGTTGATGGCAGGGAGATGAGACACATGGAAAGTCCATCGGATGAAATATACATGCCAGCGATTCTTCTAGATTGGAAATCTCCCGTGCCCCCTCCTCAGCGCTCGCGCGGACCCTGCATCGCAAAAGGAGCTCTCAAACTTAAGGGCAGGACACTCTTAAGGGGGATGAAACCTCAGAGAGCTGGCAGGGACGTTTCACTTAAAAGCAATCTTCTCCTGCAACTGCCAGCAAGTAGAGGGATTGCAAACCTTATACCACCTCCAGACCTGAACGCGCCGAGCGGTCCTAACGCCGTTTAGATCTCCATCTCTCTCTCCCGCATTTCCGTGCCTGCCACTCGCACAAGTCCCTTATTAACTCATGACACCGATTATATCTCCTGCAGCATTCCCCCCTTGCACCTCCTTTTTGTTCCTTAGGAAAAGCCTTTAAGATCTTGGGCTTAAAAGACACTAAAGCCTCAGCCTTCAATCAGAAATGGACTAAAGGGTCAGGGTACAAGTTGGATCTTGACAATTTTTAGTCCAGCCTTCCAAATTCCAGGAAGAACAAGCCTAGCTGTTCCAATTGCACCAAATACCCTGATACATCCCACCTCAGTTGCATTGCCAAACCCTGGAGCCATCAGGTGGGTCCTGCTGGATCCTGGCAGTTTTTAGCCCCATCTACCTATGTTTCATGCCTGATCAGAAAACATGTTTAGCTGTTATTAGTGCACCTTAAAAACACAGACCCTGAAGCTTCCCAGTACAACAGTACCACAAAACTCAGGTTCAGCATCTGGATCCTGGCAAAATTTGGTCATAAAACGAGACATTGAAGGACCACAAAATATTCTGGTACAAGAAAGAATCAAAAACTATAATTTGGCACCCATCGCCTTTTACTGGGTCTGCATACTCCCCAGTTTTACCATCTAAATTTAGGTCATATGCACCTTCTCCTAATCTATCAAAATAATCCAGATCACAACCCACACCCATCCCGACCTCCCAGTATCTGGCAACTGAATCTGGCTGGATCTAAGCTCTGTTGAACATGGAAGTCTCAAGAACTGGACTTTTTCTGGAATAACAGGAGCAGCTAAACATTCTCTATTTCGGCAAGGACCCAGCAGGGAGGGCTTCAAGATTTTTTGTGGAGGAGTCAGGAAGAGCCCTACTGCAGCTAGAATGATTGAATTTTTCCTTATCCAAAGCATCAGCTGAAGGCAAACCTGAGGCTGCATAAAGTATAGTTCTTTGTCAAAACTGCATGCAAGTTGTGATTGTGATAGGACAGCAGGTGAAATCCAGTGGTTTGGACTCATTTTCCCTTTGAGTTTTTATATTTGTTAGAACTAGAAGATCAAACTATACGTGATTGAAGACCCACAATGAAAAAGAAACTGTTTGCATAAACACCAGTGAAACAAAACTGCTGAGTTTCACACAGCTCCATTGTGAATAGTGCCTAACAGAATGACCATAGCTACTGAGAGTGTGGAACTCATTGCCACAAGACATCAACACCAGAGTTTAGCAGGATTCAAAAGAAGATGAGACATTTATATATGTCTAACAAGAAAATATCAAGAGTTTTAACAAATATGGGGGGGGGGGAACCCAACCCCCTAAGAGCTTTGGATGTATATAAATGTGCAACACCAGAGTTTAGCAGGATTCAAAAGAAGATGAGACATTTATATATGTCTAACAAGAAAATATCCAGAGTTTTAACAAATATGGGGGGGGGGAACCCAACCCCCTAAGAGCTTTGGATGTATATAAATGTGCAAACTTTAGGGCTTAAACCAACCTCTAATCATGGGGGGATAGGGTGAAGCTTCCCTGCAGATTAGGTTCTCATAATTGCCTACAGCAGGGTTTCTTACATCTTGCTCTGAAGCCTTTGGTACTGGACTGTCAGACAGGATACAGTAGAACCTCAGAGTTATAAACACCAGAGTTACAAACTGACCAGTCAATCACACCCCTCATTTGGAACGGGAAGTACACAATCAGGCTGCAGCAGAGACCCCCCCCCCCCCAAAAAAGCAGCAAATACTGTACTGTGTTAACCTAAACTACTAAAAAATAAAGCGAAAGCAGAATTTTTCTTCTGCATAGTCAAGTTTCAAAGCTGTATTAAACCAATGTTCAGTTGTAAACATCTGAAAGAACAACCATAATGTTTTGTTCAGAGTTACGTACATTCCAAAGCTACAACCTCCATTCCCGAGGTGTTCATAACTCTTAGGTTCTACTGTACTGAACTAATTAGACCACTGGTCTGACCTAGTATGGCACTTTTAAGTAGGGTATTTATCCACGGCAATGACCCAACTGCAACAACACACACCTCGACTAGAGAAGCACTATCCTTGTTTGCAAACCTTTCAGTGAAACTAGGCCGAGTTTGGAATTTGTAACAAAACCCTAATCAAGTTTTGCATGATTTCAGGCTGTGTTGTGGCCATTGCACACATCTCTAAATGTCATCCCATGGGCCATTATGAATCTCCCATTACCTGAGCTATCCTGCCTCTTTGTCTCTAAGGAAACTGTAAAGGTATTTGTGTATTCCCCATGTCCAGTTACCTACAACTCTCCCAGTGGGATGGAGCAGAGAGTTACTGTGCCTATAAGTATTTAGGGACACTGGGAATTTTGTCATCTGAAAAATAGCATTTAAATCTATCAGTATTTGAAGCCCAAAGCTCCATGAAAGAATTAGACATTGGTGTGACAGGGTACCTGTATCTTGGGTGCTGTCCTCCTTCACACTGGAGGAGGGCTGATGCCCGACTGACCCACTGCACAATGGCAACTGCTGCATACATTTTGGGCTTGATTTTCCCCCTCCCGCACACTGTGCAAACTCAACATCCACTGAAGTCAATGAGAACTGACAGCACTCAGCACTTTATAGGAGGTGTGAGCAGCTTCGAGGGGCAAGCCCTTTGTTGGAAGAATGGCTCAGGTGACGGTCCTAGGGTCCTTTGTGCAGTGCAACTTTCTACTCCACACTCTGCTATGCAAGGAGCACACACTATTCCAATGCGTTGAGCACACACTGCTAACTCTCCAACTGGCAGCTGAAATAGACTTTTTTTGAACAAAGTAGCAGGCAGACTGTGTGCGAGAGAGCAGGAGGAGGGTTGCTAACCTGCTCCCCCTCCACAACCACCCAGCTATAGTTGAGGCAAAGGGTGCAAATCTCCAAACAGCAGCAGATTTCCCCAAGGGCAGAGCTGGCCTGTCTGCTTTCTCATTGCTTTGCCCATAGTAGTTTAACCTCCAATACAGTCAATCGATCAGTGATGATTTGAATGTTGATCTGGGCTTGCACCTTTACTACCTCCAGCTGCTTCATTTTTAGCTCCCAGTGGAAGAGGAATGTTTGAAAAATTGCACTGGAGATACGTGAACAAAATCAAGAGGTTACTACATTCAGTAGGAAGGGCACAAACCCCTAAAACTGTTCAGTGAAACAGCAGAACAGACAACACTCAAAAAGACATTTGCCACCACGGGCAGGGGACGGAAAGATATACCTCATCTCTGCCTGTGGAAACCTCCATCACACAGGTATGCTTTGTAAAAAGTTTGCTCTGAGAAGGGATAGATGACAATGACAAATGCTGGAGGCCACAAGTGCCTTCTGTAGAATAGGGCTCCCATCTTTGCTACCATTGCCAGAGATGACCAGTGTTAGCAATGCTGGGAAATTTTAGTGGAAAAGGCACAGAGTGCTATTGAAAGCCTTCTAGCCAATGTGTAACTTAATCTGTCTGGCCAGCTGGGAGTATGATATTGCACTGATGCACAATACATAAAGAGGTACGTGAGTCTGACATTTTACTCCTGCCTATATTTTCATGCAGTTTGATAATGACTTTTTCCCCTGAGAGGGAAAGGAGATCTTTCCCAATCTTGTTTCAGGGATGAGAGTTTCTGTGTGCTGGACATCTTGGTGTGAAATCTCTACATTGGGTATGTACAAACCCCAAGAAAGACTGTCTAATAAACCTTATTTTTCATTCCAGTCCCGTTGTTTCTCATTGGGACAGCATGGAACATTATTATTCATTTCTAGGGTTTGGATAGAAAATGAACCATTTCAGACGTATTGGAAGGAATGGTTTTTATTCTTATTCAGTTCACTGGAGTATAAGGCCCAAGGAATTCCATAAATTAAACTTTTAGAGAAATGGAGAAATCAAGCTCAGTGTACAAAGGGTTAAAATTAAGTATCAAATTTTTGATGAAAATAAATATACATATAAAGATTTGATTTCTACTCCCAAAATATGAAAAAGTGTCTTGTTCTAATAATAGACACTGGATCCCTGCAGTGTCCAATAACAAACATATGACACTATGTACAAAGACTTGACAATTTTTCAGATTTTGCTTTAGCAGTTTGT